GCTACTCATAATAGAGGAACTCTAGGCATAGAACTTGCTTAGTGAATTAGTATCGTGACTAGAGGAAGCCTCTAGCACGATGAAGAATGACTGGAGGAAGCCTCCAGCATTCGTGTAGGACGACTAGAGGAAGCCTCTAGCGTAACGTAATGTGACTGGAGGAAGCCTCCAGCACAACGTATGTAAGGTGATTAGAGGAAGCCTCTAACACCAAGTGGGGTGACTAGAGTAAGCCTCTAGCACGACAAAACATGACTAGAGGAAGCCTCTAGCATGGTAAACTAATATAGATGGGTGTGGCTTGAAGTCACGGGGAAAGGGTTAAATGTTTTCAAAGTAAACATGGGCCTTCGGGCGATTACTTGACTTTATATATAAAGTAAGTATACTTTCAAAGAGGGTAACCATGGGTTATGACCTATAATATAATAACATCCTAGATTGAGGGTCTTGGAAATTGAAACTTTGATTATACTTAGTATAGTTGTCATTGTACTTGTCAAATGCTTCCAAGTACTGACCTCCCCTTCACGGGGGAGGCCACCTCACAGTTTCAGGTAGAACTTGAAGGTTGCTACCCTCGCCATTGCTCCAAGAGAATTCAGGAGGAGAAGACGTGGTTCGTGCTCCCTCCGTTCCTGTTTTAAACTCATTTAAATTAATGCTCATGGATGTTATCTTTTGAATAACTATTGATGGCTTGTATGCCCATGTTACGCCAAGTGTGGCTTGAACACTTGTATTAAACGTTTCCGCTACTTTGAATGAATATTTTATATTATGTTTGTTTATGGATGTACTATGTGTGAATGATATCCCAGACGCCTTGTATAGTATGAATGTGTTGGACTGCGGTTGACCATTCGTACTGTACGGCGGATTGTTGACGTGTCCGGGTAGGTACGGGGCGTGACAGAGAGGGTCTTCAGTATCATGGAGAAGGCCAGCATGAGGCTCAATCCGAAGAAATGCGCCTTCGCCGTCAGGGGCGGCAAGTTCCTCGGCTACATGATGAGCGAGCGGGAAATCGAGCCTAACCTGGAGAAGGTAAAGGCAATTATGGACATGGTGGCCCCCAAGAACCTCAAAGACGTGCAGCGGCTCACCGGGCGTCTGGCAGCCCTGAGCACGTTCTTATCCAAACTGGCTGATAAGGCGATTCCCTTTTTCCAGATCATGAAGAAGGCCAACCCCTTTGAATGGACCCCGGAGTGCCAGGCCGCTTTCGAAGATTTCAAGGTATATCTCTCCTCTCCGCTCGTCCTCACCAAAGCGGATCCCGGGGAGAGATTATATATGTACTTAGCAGTAGCCGATCTGGCCGTGAGTGCCGTACTGCTGAAGGAGTCAGAAGGCGTTCAGCGGCCGATATACTTTGTGAGTAAGGCGCTGAACGGCCCCGAGACGAGATACACATTGATGGAGAAGACGATCCTCGCCTTGATTGCATCCATCAAGCGCCTAGCACCGTATTTCCAAGCACACCCGGTGACCGTCTACACGACGCAGCCCCTCGCCACAGTCCTCAGGAACCCAATGGCAAGCGGGAGGATAACCAAGTGGTCCTTGATGATCGGCCAGTATGACGTGGACTTCAAGCCAAGGCCGACGATCAAAGGACATGCACTGGCGGACTTCATTGCGGAATGCACCGCGCGCACCGAGGACGAATCCCATGACAACAACGACTTCAATAATTGGTGGGAGATGTACACCGATGGGGCCTCGAGTGCGCGGGGCTGTGGCGGAGGAGCGGTGATCACTTCCCCCGAGGGTTTCAAAGCCTACTACTCTATGAAATTTGAGTTCAAGGTCACCAACAACGAGGCTGAGTACGAGGCGCTTATCGCAGGGCTAAAATGCGCGAAGGCCCTCGGAGCAGCTCGTCTGAGGGTGAGGATGGACAGCCAGCTGGTGGTAACCCAGATGAACGGCACTGCAGAAACCAGGGAGGAAAGAATGAAGGTTTACAAGGAATTGACGGAGGAACAGACCGCGCAATTTGAGCAGGTGATCCTTGAGCAGGTATCACGGGTGGAGAATGCAGAGGCAGACATACTGTCAAAGCTAAGCAACCCCCCAACCGATGATCTGGCATCAAGCATCCCCCGCCACATCAGGGGTTTCGTCAGGCAGGAGGTGTTCCCAGCACCGGCGACGGACATCATCCAGGTGGAGGTTATCTCCCTCGCCGAACCCAACTGGGCGAAGGAGATAGCAGATTACCTCAGAGATGGAACACTCCCGGAGCCCGAAGATGATGGCGGCGCAGGAAGAGCTGTGTGGATAAAGAGGCGCGCCCCCAACTTTGAACTTATTGATGGGCAGCTCTACAAGAAGACGTTCGGCGGGCCTTACCTCAGGTGCCTCCCGCCGAGCCTAGCAGCAGCGGTGATCGAGGAGATACATGAGGGGATCTGCTCCAGCCACCAAGGCCCCCGAACCTTGGCCAGGAAAATCATTCCGCAGGGCTACTACTGGCCGACCATACAACAAGATTGCTTCAACCATACTCGGAAATGCTCAGTATGCCAGCAGTATGCGTCTGTCCCTGGACGTCCGACGAGCTTCTACACCCCGATGACCATCGCACTACCTTTTGCTAGATGGGGCATAGATTTGCTGGGTCCTCTGCCAACGGCCACTGGAGGAAGGAAATTCGTCATTGTGGCAATTGATTATTTCACAAAGTGGGTGGAGGCCGAACCACTGGCCTCCATCACTGAATTCCAGTGCCAGAAGTTTGTCTGGCAGAACATCATATGCCGCTTCGGGATCCCAGAACAGGTTATCACAGACAATGGCCGGCAGTTCGTCGGACGGGGATTCGAAGCTTACTTGGCCAAATGGGGAATCCGACATTCCAAAGCTTCAGTGGCATACCCGCAGGCAAACGACCAGGTGGAGAACATGAACCGGACCATCATGGATGGAATCAAGAAGAAGTTAGAAGACTACACCTCCACCTGGCCGGAACAGCTGAATTATGTCTTGTGGACGTACAGGACGACGCCAAGAACGGCGACTGGGGAAACCCCCTTTGCCTTGGCTTATGGGTTCCAAGCTAAGGTGCCGACGGAGGTGCTGGTGCCCACACATCGCACCAAGCATTACCAGCCAGAGGACAACGAGGCCAACCTACGAGCGGAGCTCCACTTCATCGAGGAACGGAGGGACCTAGCAGCTCGTCGCATGGAAGAGTACCACAGGGCCACACAGAGATACTTCAACAAGGCCGTGAAATTCCGCGAAATAGAGGCCGGGACCTCGTGCTTAGAAAAAGAGAGAAGAGCAAACCGCTCGAGGGTGGCAAGATGGCTAAGAATTGGGAAGGGCCTTACCGGGTTGTCAGAAGATATAACCAGGGGACGCTCCTCCTTCATACCCTGGAGGGGAACCATGCCGGGATATGGAACGTAGAACACCTGAAGAAGTTCTATCAATAGTTAGAGGCTGTTGTCTTTGTATTATTCCTACTCCCATGTAAATTGACCGGACGTCGTCAATAATAAGGACCCCTGTTTTTCATCGTCTCTGCTCTTACCAACGGCCGTCAAGGAAGGGAATCTCGATGTAGATATACCTGTTCCTCATTGTGATGTCCACGGATACCGAACATCTCTTCGAAGTAATATAGATTGCCTCCCCAAAAAAAAAATATAAATAAAAAAGATGGGGAGAAGAGGAGGGGAGCTCCTATGTGGAAGGGAATCTTGCCCGGGCGTGCCAGATCTTCTCCCACCGCCGAAGACGAACGCCTCTCGATGTAGAGGTTAGTAGAGACGCGGAGGGGGCTAGACGAACCAAGGGAGCTTTGCCAAGATAAACCTGTTTATCCCACAATGACCATGGATCGATGGACGTGGGATAACAAAGTCGGGAACCCGTGAGGGTAAACCAGTTCGTCCCTGCGAGTTCCTTGGGTACCGAACGTCTTCTTCGAAGCAAGAGACGCCGGTAAGACTAAAAGGACCACGGACGAACGAAAAAGGGGGAATCTCGATGTAGATAAACCTGTTCCTCCTTGCGAGTTTCGAGGATACCGGACATCCTTCGAAGTAAGGATGCCGGTAAGACCAAGAACCAAGGACAAACGAAGGATACCGGACATCCAGCTCGCTCCCTGGGCCGCTGGGCGGACGAACGTCCCCACTAATTAGGCGGGAAACCTAGATTCTGGCGGGAAGCGCATTTAATACTGGAGATTTGGTGGTTGAGTCACCAGCGGACCACAGGCTTCCACGTCAGTGTAGCCACCTGCCCATTGGTGGATATAAATAGAAGCATTTATTTCATTGTAAAGGGTTGGCAACTTTCTATTCTTAGCACTCTAGGTATAGCATTCTTACTCGCAGCATTTCTACTGCCTCGTAAGACGAACGGCCGACGTGCCTTTTTAGCAAGTAGATTGTACTTAGGGGAGTTATTACGAAGTTAATAATACCTATTTACATTGCCTGCTATTTTCTCTGTTTCCTGATCCGTCTGATAGTTGTTGGGCTGGATATTCATACATTCATACACCCTCTTCCATTCGAGACCTTTTGGGCTTACGTGTTGGGTCCGAGGGTTGAAGGAATAAACCTCAACACTTCCCATTTCTAAATCTTCACATCATACCCTTAATAATTTAAAAAATAATACACTACTACACCTACTTTTTTTGGATTTATCCTTCATTCCATCACATTATTTCACCATCTTCCCATCATACCCTCAATAATTTATACCTCATTTCACTATTCTTAATCTCTCCCACTTTGAAAGTGGGAAGATATATGTGATACGGATGGAGTATTATTTTAAAAAATATCTAATTATAAACAAATAAAATATTTTCTAGATCGAGTATTAAAGAAGGAATAAACTTTTTTTGACCAAGAAGGAATTCGAAAAGACTTGCTCGTAGTAATACTCCGTAGCAATTTGACAGAGGTTAAATGTTAAAACCTTCCAAACACATCAGGACATAATTGTCCAATGGCGTTGTAAATGGGGCGCGCTTAGCAAAAAGAAAGGTGCGCCGAGATGCTCCGGGAAAAAAAGATATGGGTCATAGATAGGAAAAGATGCCAGCTTTTAGTCATGCAGGGGTAATTTTTTCTCTCTTAATTTTAATGAAGCTTTCTTGTAAATTCGAATTCCTTGAAACCTTGTTTTTTCTGGTTAATTCCTAAAGATACTCCATCATTTTTATACGAGTATTTAATTTAATGAGGCTTTCTTGTAAATTCGAGTTTGGCAAAACCTTTGTCTTTTCTACTTTATTCCTACAAAATACTCCGTATAAAGCTCCTGTGCGTTGTCCTCAGATGCACGCCATTTTTGAGCTCTCAGCTTCATCATCTCGTGTCTTCTTCTTAACCACTGCCCCCACCGGTAAGTACTCGTATTCTTCTTTACTAATTCATACGCGTATATCAGCACATGGATATAAATGTATACTCATCTCTGTGATCTGTTCATACATGTGACTGCATGCATACGGCATATATATGACATATCCTTCAGGCATTGCTACTTTTGCCTTTAGTAGCGGCGGCCGCGCTAAAAGCATTCGAGCTACTTTCTCTCGCTATACAGACACCTTTATGTATGTATGTCACATAGCTTCGTGAGGTGTGCCAGTCCCTGCGCGCCGCTGAATTTGAAAATTTCACGACTCGTCGATTGCTCCGGTATGGTAATTGCGATCGATTTGAGTCCTTGCTTTTAGAATGTATTTATTTATTTATTTGCATTGAGTTCCATAAAAAATTGTAGTTAAGCTGATGGATTTTGTTTCAAATTTTCAATCAGTCCACTGCCAAGTGGACTAACGGGGTTCGTTATACATCATATATTGCTACTGTAATACAATCTTCTTCCGAAGCTAATTGATTGAGGTAAATGTTCGGAACTATAATATAATTTGTTTTAAGAAATGTTCGTGCACAGTGATTGATCTGGTCATATTAAGCTGCTCAAGGATTTTTAGCGTAAACATGATCAAAGCTATTTTAAAATCTATAATCTATCAACTTTATCAGTTTTATAGAAAATTGATGGTTTTTCTATAATTTCAGTCTATTGATTGATCCAGTAAGCACTTGAAAAGGAGACTGGTTGTTTGGTTTGATATGAAATGATCTGTGTATTTCGTTTCCTATTGGAATAAAACCACAACTTTCACTATTCGTATGCAATTTATCTCAGATCTCACAAGGGTGAAGTGCTGCACAATAGAGGTGAGTCCTAGACAACTTGAATATCATGTGTGAACAAACACGAAGATGAAGTTCGGGAAGGATTTTAAGAAACAGCAGGTGCCAGAGTGGATAGAAGCCTATGTGGACTATAATGGACTCAAAAGGATATTACATGACATTTGGCATATAAAAAAACTCAAGCAGCCTCCAACTCCGGTACAGCAGAAGCTTCCATTCTACAGGGCCTTAGGCAGTCTAAACCAGGAAAGTAGTGCTGAGAATAGTGGAGATGTTGAGGATCAAGTTATATCTGTAGATACCGTTCAAGAAGAAAACTCCATAGAGTTGTACTTTTCCAAGTATCTGAAGTCTGCTGAAGGAGGAGGCCAGAATGAGATTACATTCTTTAAGAAACTGGACAGTGAGCTTAACAAGGTCAATGCCTTTTACAAGAAAAAGGTTGAAGAAGTGAAAAGTGAAGCAGCGCTGCTGAACCAACAAATGGATGCTTTGCTTGCATTGCGGATCAAGGTGATGAATCCAGATTTTGATGCATCTGCTTCTCTACAGCGGCTTTCTGTAGATATTAACAATTCAATCCCCTCAAGAGTTAGTTCCAGAAACCGAGCTACCGATTTGGGTGAGTTACAAAGACATTGCTGCTCACCATCTTCACTTTCGTCACTTCAAAGCTGTTGAAAGTGGTTAAATTTACCATTCCATAATAATCTTCATTCCACAAGAATTAGAACTTATCTCTAAAAGTTTAAATTTATATCCATATAAATGAATATATGTTTTTTATGAAGAAAGTTTAATAACATCAACTCATAGAACAAATAATAGGGAATTCATAAAATCAATAAATGGTTGCAGAGGCTCCGATGTGTATCTTTACAAAGGGCGATGTATTTTTTTAAAGTTCAGATGAACTATTGGATGCCAAGGCACTCATGAATTTTAGCTAGTCAATTTGTGGATTGTGAATTGCAAGCCTTATTTTATGTGTAACATTTGGCATATCTACAGGCTTGAAATCTAGAACCAAAAAATGTATCTTCAATTGGTGACACTACTTACTGTTCACTACAGATACAGAGCATATAGCTTTGGCGCCAAGGGTGGATCATAGTCCAGAAAGTTTGTCCACTAATCATGCTGAGTACAGTTCTGCTTTAGCAAGGAACACAAATTTAGACAATAAGGAAACAGATCCCATGCAAATCCTTGATCATGTAAAGATTGTTAATACATGCGAAAGTCCCATGTCTACAATACGAGGGGTTTTGAGAGATTCCAAAGAAAATGATTTGAGGTTCAAGAAAGAGGAACTAAAGAAGGTTGATCAAAGGTTGAAAATGGCCTTTATTGAGTTCTATCGAAAGCTCCGCCTCCTAAAGAACTTCAGGTAATAAACAGCAACTGTCTGAGAAGATTAAAAATGTTTCTTTTGGTTGGTTTTGTTCCTCATTTTGTGTTGAACTGTGACTATTTGCGGACTGTCTGACAGCTATACGAACCTGTCAGCTTTCTCCAAGATCCTGAAGAAGTATGAAAAGGTGATAAGATATATTAAATTCTTTGTACCCTGTGTGACATTGCTATTTCATTGTATTTATTAAATGTTAAATATGCATCTCGGAATAGTCCAGGGCTCGAGCTATTTATAGTTTTATTTTATAAAATATTACAATATACTAGTACTAAACTTTTGTATCATTGTATGTAAATGCAGATTACATCAAGAAGAGCTGCACGGTCATACATGAGAATGGTGGAGAACTCTTATCTCGGAAGCTCTGATGAGGTCTGATTAAAGTTGTTGTAAGTTTATATGAATGCAGATATTTGTTTTACTGTAATTATATCCTCCCTCTAAATGTTGCTAATTACATCTTTGAAGTAATAATTATGTGATTAAGATTTTTGCTGGGAAGAGAGAAAAAATATAAACCACATAGGTGTTTCTTAAAAGGGGAACATGTCAATGTTTTTTAGACCATCAAAGAGGGAAAGTTTGCAAAGTGTAGGACAGAAGAAGTACATTACTAAGTGGTCATGACTGTGTGGGAAACAATGAACAAAGCTACCCATGTACATCTTCTAGGCCCGATAATCCACTTTGTTTGTTTTGTATGCAATTCATGAATCATATACCATAAGGACTTGCCTTTATATACTTTTATTGTAGTACAAAGACATTATAAATTTACAATACACTGCCATAGCAATATGATGCACACATATTCTCAGGAGGTAGTATTTCCCACACAAGATGTTTGGAGGGACCTTTAGGAACTCTAAGTCCTTATTAAACTGTTATTAGAATTGTTCTGTGCTCAAAGATGGTGTTTCCCGGTGTGGTGTTTCCCATTTCAAGTTTCTTGCTTTCAGCTTCCACGCAAAATAATATATTGCACAAGAGAGGATCCATCGTTTCCCCCATCAACTTTCATGTCAGTAGACAGTAATATCCTATAATTGTGAAGTGAAATGGTCAAAGCGACTTTGAACTCCACAACCGCTCCCAAAGCGCCCCTTTAACTTCCATGTAACCTCACAACCCTAAAAGGGAAGCTTGGTGCACATTGGCATCCCTGCAAGGCGAGGGTCTGGGAAGGGTCCCACACAAGGGTGTATAAGGAGCAAGCCTTCCCTTGCCATTTGGAAAGAGGCCGCTCCCAAGACTTGAACCTGTGACCTCTGAGTCACACATTTAAGACGCACAATGTAACTTAGTTAACAAAAGGTTATGACAAAACAACCAATGTGAAGCATATACCAGTATACCTCCATCCCTTAAAGAAATTCCTAGTCTGAATCGCACCCACTTCATGGAAGAGTTTTTCCTTTGACTTCCTGAAATGCCCTTTGTACTAAGGGTAAATATTACTCGGAGTACACTGTTTGATATTGTATAGTCATTATTGTTTGAGGTTGATAGCAATTAATTTACAAAATAAGTAAAGAAGACTTTATTTAGGCACATCCAAAAAGGAATATAGGAAGTCAAATAGTTCTTTAAGGGATGGAGGGAGTAGTATATAGAGTATTGTACTACAAGATGTCATCTACGACTATAAATGTGAGACATTTTTATGTGGCCTTCAGAGTCCTAACATCCCTTATTTTTTCTCAAACTTTAAAATGTTTTGATCATGACGTGAAGCTTTTCTTCCCAATATGTAGATTTGTATTATTTCTGAAATAATTACACTTTTTTATACTTGCTGAAGCATGCTGCTTTTTTAGGTTTGTGGTCTCCTAGATAGCGCCGAGTCTACTTTCATCAAACATTTTTCGAATTCTAACAGAAGAAAGGGCATGAAAAAGTTGCGGCCAATGCCAAAACCTGAAAAGCATCGTGTGACATTTTTTTCAGGCAAGAAAAAGTGTTTCACACAGCATCGTCCTTTAACTTAATCAAAACACGTGTAGTCTATCTTCAATGTTTCATATTTACTTTTCTATTTGTTCTTAATTTCCAGGTTTCTTTTCCGGATGCTCAATTGCTTTGTTGGTTGCTGTCACTCTGCTAAGAGATACTAGAAAGTTGATGGAGGGTGATTCCTCTTATCTGGACAACATATTTCCACTTTATAGGTGAAGGAATACCCCAGTTTTGCATTTTTTATTTTTCATGCTGACCTTAAAAAAGGAAAAAAAAAAGTTCTGTATTTATTACTATCCTAGAGAACTGACCAAATGACATTTCTACAGTTTCTACGCATATATTGTGCTGCATATGCTTCTATATGCTGCAAACTTATATTTCTGGAGGCACTACAAAATCAACTATGCTTTTATATTTGGTTTCAAGCAAGGGACAGAATTGAGCTATCGGGAAGTCTTTCTCCTTAGCAACGGTCTAGCTATGCTTGTCCTTGGCACCTTTTTGGCTCATGTGCACATGAACATCGAATCACGAAGTGAAAAATATAACAGATATCTTGAGTTTATCCCATTAGGATTGGTCGTTGTAAGATTCTATAGATCGCCAAATATCAATTACTACGTCCTTAATACTGCATGTTACAATTACTTCAAGAATTTCATTCTTGCAGGTTCTTTTTATACTACTGTTCTGTCCCTTCAACATTATCTATCGATCAAGTCGTTTCTTCCTCATTAGAACTGTTTCTCATCGTGTCTGTGCTCCTCTCTACAAAGTAAGCATATTTGGTTGGAAAAGAAAAATATACAGATTAGAAAAACATACAGCTTAGCCATTTTTTATTCATTCTTTAACTTATCTGCAGGTCACTCTTCCAGACTTCTTTCTGACAGACCAATTGACAAGCCAGGTCAATTATCCAGTTGGTGTTGGTCTGGTTAAGCTGTAATTTTCTGATCTGTTTTTTTTTTCTTCCTAATTTACAATTTTGGCACCAGGTAGAAGCTATAAGGACTTTGGAGTACTATGTCTGCTACTATGGATGGCACAATCCCAAAGAGAGACAAAACAAATGTCATGGTCACGACATGTATGATGTGTTTTATTTCATCCTCGCATTTTTCCCGTACTGGTTTCGGTTCCTCCAGGTCTGATCGCGGTCACGCTATAACCAGTTAACTTCTAATTGCATTATAACTCCATTTAACTTAATAACTCGCATGTAGTCTATACTTATATCTGTCTTCATGTAGTGTATTCGTCGGCTGTTTGAAGAGAATGACATTGCACATTTGTATAATGGGTTAAGGTACTTCTTGACAATTGTGGCAGTAGCTGTTAGAACAGCTTTTGAACTGAAAGGGAGCTTAAGCTGGAAAGTCTTGGCTATACTAATGTCTGTTCTAGCAACCTTATTGAACACATATTGGGATATCGTTGTAGACTGGGGTCTCCTGCGAAGGAAATCAAGAAATGTTTTTCTACGGAATAAACTCATTGTTTCTCATGCAAGCGTTTATTTTACAGCTATGGTACTGTAAATTTTTTTTGCTTGTGGGTTTTCAAGTTCTTTCTGAATTGATTGTTAATTATATATATAAATCTTTTACCACCTGCAGGTCTTGGACGTTGCGCTTAGATTTGCATGGCTCCAGGTCGTGCTAAAATTTAATGTGGCTTCTTTGCGCGGGAATAGAATATCAAGCATATTTTCCTGCCTGGAAATTCTTCGTCGTGGCATGTGGAACTTTTTCAGGTATATATAGTCACAGTATCTTACTATATATAAGAATTTGGCTAACCATACCTGTTAATGTTATGTTTAAGCATCAGTGAAAAAACATATTTTCCATGATTTTCAAAGAGTAACTAAATCATCAAAGAATTTTTTCACGCGTAACATCCCATCAAAGGACTCCATTGATCATTAAAATAGTGAATGCTGAAAACTACTTAAGATACTGATATTTTAATTCATGCTTAAATCTAACACTAAGACCTATGCTTAGCATTTGCCTACAAATAACAGTAAGCCTTTTTTATTCTTAGCAAAACCCACTTTTGTTAACCTGCTTGTATATTAATGCTATGCATTTGGCTTCTAAGGCCTACTTGTTTTGGACATAAACTTATTTCAGACCTAGACAAGACCAAATTAACAGTTCATTCGAGAGCAGATTTAAAATACACGATATTACTAGTACCAGACCAGAGTAGAACAAAACAGGCCAAACTTAAACATATCAAACATGATCAGCAATGTTCAATCCAAGAGAACAAGGTCTAAGTGGAAAAAAGCATAAATGCACACCCCAGATTACCATTTTTTATTGGTTTCTCTCAGGTTGGAGAATGAGCACCTAAACAATGTTGGGAAGTATCGCGCTTTCAAGTCTGTGCCTCTTCCCTTTAGTTACCATGATGAGGATGGAGATAAGGATGAATAGCTTGTTTGCAATGTTCTTTTCGGGGGGGGGGGGGGGGGGGGGGGGGCTAATCGCATCACTATGTCTTATGTTGGAAATAGTGGAGGTAAGCTAGCTCAAGTTTAAATGCATCGATGCCAATAAGGCAGGTATATAAATACAAATGCAGGTGTATATGAACCTTTTAGCAGAAGAACCAACTGTAAAATACCTAACAAGGAGAGAAAATGGGATAGTTCAACAAAAAAACTGATCTGGGTGAAAACCTGCACTATTTGTCCACCATCACTATATTGTTTCTTTCCCCAAATTTTCAATGAAAATTCTATGCTACTTTTCGTATAAGTTAGTCAAAGGGTCGAATTAAGCTTACATTCAATTAGAAACCACTGTCCCTCATCCCCCATGGCATTCACTACTCATGGAAACAAATAAAAGGTACAAGATTTAAAAGTAAACGTTGGTCTCATTCCTCACTAGGTCATCGAGTATTGCTATGATGTAAATGCGAGGTGATTGATATATTTTAAAACGTATTCAGTTTCTCCAAATATGTCTATGTTTGTTTTTAGTTGTTATATCATACAAAAGAAAAGAAAAATCTTGTCATAGTAAAGTGTTGAAGGATGAAAATAGCATTATTAAAAAGGTGCATTTTACACCCATTTCGTCAAATTAAATAAGATGCACTTCCATGTTGGTATTAATGTTCACTGTATTTCTTGTTTTTTGGTTGACATTATTTTTCTGCCCACTCACGTCAATGCCCTTTGCCACCATCAATGCTCTTGCCATCGTTCATGCCGGTGTTACTACTCAATGTCATTAAACAATAAAAAGAAGCAAAAGGTAATGTTAAAGCACATTCATTCTTACATTATGTGTTGCCTTCGATTCACAATACAACACTAAGGATGGACTCGGGTCGGTTGAATCCCGGTTCTGAGTCGAGATCACCCGGTCCAAAAAAATAAAGAATTGATCGGCACAAGATCGGTTCCTGGTACCGGGTGTTCTGTTTTGAACCCGGACCTGTTATATATTTTTTGTTTTACTCGGTTTCAATTTTAAAAAAAAATCGGCCGGTTTGGGACCGTGAATCGCTCTTGGACGGACAGAGCATGTCCTAGGCCCGCAATCAAAATTTCATGATTTGGTTTTATCCCAAACAGTGTCGAAACTAATTCTGGACTGGGTCGGACCGGGTCCACCCTTATACAACACCTTCTTTCAATGCATTTATTCGTTGCACAAGTTGAATAATGGTGTTTATGCTATCAATTAGAACAAGGAATGGCGGTTGTCCTTGTCCGCTTGAGAGCACAACCTTTGTTCGTTGAGACAATGGGTCCTTCGCCCGTCATCGTCACTCCAGCGCTGTCTTTCTAGCATCCCATCAATCGTAATTTCAAGAACAAAAGGAAGAATAACGAGAAAGAGAAGGAGAAGAAAAAGAGCAGGCTAGAGGCTAGCGAGTGGTTGGAGGTTGATGAGGACATTATTCTATGTTCATGGACACATATGTAGATGGAATTCCCTCCAACTAAGGGGCCCGACCGCCTTGCATAAGATGGTGGTCACCTCTAGGGGTTGGGCTCGACTTGGCAGCTTAGGACATTTGGCACGACACGTCTTCCTTTGGACGTTCGGCCTCTGGTACCTCGATCTCAGTATGCGGTATGCACAACTTTGTTTTGCACGACTCGAGATTTTTTAATTTACCTCGTCATCCTAAATCGTAAACACTAAACTCTAAACCATAAACCCTAAAATTTAAACTATAAACCCTAACCTTTAACTCCTAACCCATAACCCTTAATCCTTACCCCTAAGATGGATTCATCTTATGAAATCACTTGTCGTGAACTCGTGATCCATTTGTTTGATCATCAAATTTCCGATTAATTTCAAATTTGTCATCCCTAAAAAATTATTGTGCACAAATTTCTAATGTTGCTCGTTTATTACTCTACTTTTGAATTTTGATATATATTTAAAATAAGATATCTTATCTTCGAACATATTGAATTGAGGCCCTATCGTGTCTATATACTTTGGCCTAAGGGATCAATCCAAATTGGCCCACATCTCATTAATAGGGTTGGGCCTAGACATGCTTACAAATAAAATACAAAATTCTTGTACGGAGTAGTAAATTAGTTGGAAAAAAACATATTTTTAAGTTTTTGTAGTACGGCGACTAGGGTTCTCCTCATCGCATCGGAGCGGTGAAGGCCTTAGGTTCCACGACGGCGGCGGTCCTAGTGGGTCTAGGTTTATTCGGCGGGCGGCACTATAGTTTTCTCGGCGCTTCAGTGTCCCGGATTTTGCTAGTTTTTTCCTCATCTGGAGGAAGGGGTGGAACACGGGTGCATTTGTGCTGGGAGGAAATTGGCGAATCTCAATTGCAGTTCAAGGGAGATGATAGGGATCTGGAGATTGTTCGTGTTCGGACTGGTTGTGCTTGTGCGGTATCTTGGCCAAGAGAAGGAGGCGAATCATGGGCAGATCAAGGTGTTGAAAGAAGAAGATGAAGTGATGAAGATCCGCCCCCCTCCTGAACCACCGCCATGCCGGAATTGGGTGACTATGGATAGAAACAACGCGCTGAAAGATTGGATTCAGCTGCTCAATAAGTTCATTCCGCTTAATTTCATTATCCCCATTTTTAGACTTTTTGCTAAGAACTAAGAATTTCGTTGTTGTCGTTTTGTTTTTTGCTTTAGCTTATGGTAATAGGTTTTTTACGTTGATCAAGGGTTCGGCTAGTTTTGATATTGTTAGTGGGGGACAAATCTATTTTTTCAGCAGTAGCTGTATTAAGCCCGTCTGGTGGTTAGCGATTCGTATTGCTCCTTTAGGGGTTGTCGTATGTATGTCTAATTGTAGGGCTATTAGTAGTAGTTGGAAGGTGAAGTTTGTTGTCAGTTCTGGTCACTTTGAGATTGATGTAACGATCCTGATTCTAATGATATCGATATAGTCGTTTTCCTTTCAAAAAAAAGTTTTTGTAGTTGGGTGAGACCTACAATTTGGTCTAGGGTTTTGGTGACCGACGACGCGTCCGGAAAGAGAAAATGTTTTTCCTAACTTCGAGCACAACAAATTTGTTCATCTCTTAGAGCATCCTCATTGATACTACTCAAATAAACAGTTTTTTTTGTACCACATCATTGTCACATATAAAATCATAAATGATATCAAATATTCTTAACTTCTTCTCAATCATGATCTTAGATTATTGTAATTTTTGTATAAAACGCATTAAAAGAATCTCTCTCCTACAAATTAAACATACACCTTTGTATTGTAATTAATGCACCAGCGTATACTTTTTTTTCTTCTATTGTATCATGAGGGAATTATTTTGTCTTTTGTTCAAGTCATAAGTTGTATTCTAAAAAATAATGTAATAAGATTTTTTTATTCAAAATCATGATTAATATATACGTGTGTGTATTTTAAATATATATACTTATTTTATTAAGTATTTATAATATTTTAAATATAATTGTTTATATTTATCTATATTTTATTAAGTATTTATAATATTTTAAATATAATTGTTTATATTTATCTATAAAATAGATGTATTGTGTCAATTGTATTTAACGTAATCAATCAGTCAAATTTAATCAGCTTTAAAAATGATATTTAAACAACAATGCATAACATAAAAATATAGAAAATATGACTAATAGCCAAGTAACTTGTGGTCTGATGACATCGCTGTGACACTCTCAAAGAGGTGATCACAGGTTCGAATCTCAATGATGTTAGTCTTAACATAAAACACATACTATAATAGGTCTGGAAAATTTTCAATAAAGAAAAAGAAAAAAAGAAGAAAATAAGGGTAATAAATATACTATTTAATTGTTAGGTTGTTGCCGTAATGTGCCCAAATGTGTTCAACCAAATCATGTTGAAGTTGGTGATGTAATTGAGAATCTCTGATTTCGGAATTGAGACGAATATATTCTTGGAATGCTAGGGGTGCACCATGATTTATAATTCGTCGATCTTCATCATCAAGTGCACCATGTTGATCGTCACACCAATTTATCGCATTATCTCCGTCTTCAATAATCATGTTGTGCAAAATTATGCATGTGTACATAATATCACGCAAGTTCAATCTATCCCAATAACGTTCAGGATATTTTATAATTGCCCAACGAGACTGTAGTACTCCAAATGCTCGCTCCACGTCCTTTCTTGCGGCTTCTTGCATTTCTTTAAAAAAATTCTTTTAAGATCTTGGGGGCATGAAAAACTTTTAGCAAAGGTAGACCATTCTGGGTATATCCCATCTGTTAAATAATATCCTTTCGTGTATGGTGTGCCATTTACCATAAAGTTAACTTCGGGAGCAACACCTTGCAGAAAATTATTAAATAGTGGAGACTCATTGAGCACGTTGACATCATTGCGTGATCCTGCTACTCCAAAAAAGGCGTGCCATATCCATAAATCTGCAGACGTAACAACTTCAAGCATAATGGTTGGAACCCCGTGGTCACCTCGAGTAAATTGACCCTTTCAAGCGATGGGGCAATTCCGCCATTCCCAATGCATACAATCAAGACTACCCAGCATGCCAGGAAAACCATGCCTCCGCTCATGAATTTCAAGTAAATGTATTATGTCATCTGCATTAGGCCTTCTCAAGTATTGATTACCGAAAAGTTTGACCACACATTGACAGAAATTCTTCAAACTTTCTATACTAGTTGTTTCATCCATTCTTAAGTACTCATCCCAACTATCCACGGGAGTTCCGTATGCCAGTTGACGGAGGGCAGCTGTGCATTTTTGTAGTGCTGACAATCCTTTCTTTCGGCATGCATCTTCCCTTTGCTGAAAAATAAATGGAATAATTTTCAACTGCATGGACTATTTTAAGAAATAACGGCTTATGCATTCGAAAGCGTCGACGGAAATAGTTAGGAGGAAAACAGGTTGTTCTGAGAAGTAATAATCATTATAAAGATGCAATTGGCCGCTTTGACGATCACGGTCGATGTAAGCTCTCTCTTTTCGTCTAGCTTTTGAGCTTTCACCACTTTCAATTTGCCTCTCCACCTCCTCAAGTACGTTCAGTTTTAGAATGGTCAACGAATCATTATCACTTTCTCGTAACCGGTTAATCCAGTACTTTCGTGCCATGCGTAGTTCATCAGAATTTGGATTTGTAGACATTTTTTTATGATGAATATAAGTAGTGTTGTTGTAAGATAAATTTGATGCGTTGATGAAAGAATGAACATGTGTCTTTTCTTATGTTGTATATATAACATTTTAAAAATTTGTAAACGGCTTGTTTGTAACGGCTAGTTTGTAAC